TACCTTTTTAATATGTAGATGCCACCTCCCACTCTGCAGGCCCCCTTCTCCCTCATGGGTTTAGAGTATGTATGACCCAGAAAGCTGAGGCTTAACAAGCAGTTTGGAAGATTCTGAAGCAGAGGTCTATATGGCACACTGCTTTAAGTCAATAGAAAGCAAATTTCCCTCTTAAGATGTCTTCTCACCTTTTCCTTTTGATCCTTCGCATAAATGGATCAAATTTCCTGCACTCTTAGACTTCACTCAGGCCTTCACCCACTGGCAACCTGAGCTCATTCTGTGCTAAGAAAACAAAGTTGTGAAATAGGGAGTCCCTCTTTTCCCCAGCAGCTGAGGTACATAGCTACCCCCATTGGGGATGATTCTGCCCTCCTCTGATTAAGGCTTCCTGTCATCCAGAATAAAATCCCTGCCCCTTGTCCTTGACTAGAAGGCATCAGCTCCTCTTGGAAATTCTCCATTTCCTCCTCACTTTCTCTGCTCCAGCCACACTGCCTTCTTCCTCCCTGTCCCTTGGTCACAGGCACTTTGTCAAGCCTTTGCACAGGTGTTCTCTGCTGCAGCGCTCATCCTACCTTGCCAGATCTTCTCCACAGTCAAGGCTTAGTTCACTCTCCCTGTCGTCTGACTCTCATCCATAACCCTGTCTTCTTTTCTACAGATCACCAGTCACCTTTGGAAAGTTTCTTGTTTATTTATCTGTTCATTGCTTCTTCCCTCACTGGAAACAAGTTCCACGACAGCACGTTCTTTATTGTTCCTATTATCTGACATAATTTCTATCACAGCACATGACTAGGGGTTCACACACCTATGACAATGGAAATATTCTTTCCCCTGAAGAAGTTGACTTCTCTTCCTGTGTTCACGGTCACATTCCTTTCCCTCTTACCTTCCCAAGCTGTCCCCTCTTGCATCTTCCATTTGTTCTACTCTTGAGACCTCCTTTGTGGGTGGGAGGGGCTTTTCATCACTCAGTGGAACTCCAATTCTCTGTCCCTCTTCTCATCCTTCTCAGCAAATTTCTCCTTGGCTGCTTGCTCGTTCCTCTTGAGCACCTTCATCCACCCCATCTCTCTCCTCAAGCTACTTTTGGCAAGGTCACTACTAACCTTCATGCTGACAAAACCAAAGGTCATTTTCTATGCTACCTTTCTTAGTCTTTCAGCAAAAACTTACTACTTCCTCCTTCTTGAAACAGTTTTATTCTCATCTTCCAAAACAAGATTCTGCACTGTTTTTTTACATAGCTGTCTGTTTTACTTTCAGTCTCCTTGGCGCTATATCTAAATATTCGAGGGTATTGGGGCCTCCTCTGTCTTTTTCTCTTTTTCCTGAGAGATCTCATATAAACTCATTGCCTTAAAATTCTTTATAACTGAC